TTAACATAGTTAGAATTTTCGGTATGGTTTTCTCATACTTCAACATAAATCATTCTATACCACTGCTGCTTTAAGAGCTTCCGTTCGTAAAAACGGGCTCTACAATGCATTAAACTAATGGTACAATGAATAATATACACGTAATTTTTTTGAAAAAAATGTATTTATTGAAAATAATAATAGAAGTAATTTCATAAATTAATAAGTTATTAATTAATGTATTAATTATTAATTATTAATTTATCGATAAATTAATATTTCGCTAAATTAATGAAATTTTGATGGTCCCAACTGTATTAATTTATAGAGGTTTAACTGTATAATAATCTAAATCGATTTTCATTCATGTTTCAATATTTTTTTTTATATTTATCATAATTTTTAAATTATATACTTAATAAAATCATTGTTTAAGATCAAATTCATAATCAATGTTTTGGTGATAAAATAGACTAAATTTACAATTAACATTAAACTTATAATTTTGTAATATATTTGGTGAAATGACATGGGAGATCAAATCAAATCCTATTCTCTATAAATGGTAAAATGGTGAAATATTAATATTTAATTATTTTGTATAAAATTTGATGGAATTGGTGGGAGACTAAATACACTATTTTGTCACTAAAAATAGAAAAATTATAGAATGGTGTGCTATGGGTGGGAGATAACACCATTTTTTCACCACAAAAAATAGGATTTTGTGGAAAAATGGTGTTAAGGGTGGGAGATGCTCTAACCGGTCACTGTATCGCAATTTTTCATCTAATTACGTATTTTTAGCATCCCACTCAAAATTTCTATATCACCACTACACCTGAAATTATGGAGATTTGATTTTAGCCTTCCACCGTGGTCAACCCCTTTATCACCATATACTCAAATCCTATTTCCACCAATTTTTTTGGTGAAAGAATTTTCATCTCCCACCCAACCACCATTTTTTGATTTTTTTTCCACTAAATCCTGTTTTTCCTACCAAATATAGAGGTGAAAATAGAATTTGGTGTAATTAACACCATCTTATTAATTAGCATATAAATGACGATATTAACTAATTGCACCTCATTATAGACTTATTAGCATATTTATTGTAAAATACATTAGTGTTAATTACTAAATTAGTTTCTAAAATATGAACACATTTTTTATTATTAATAATGCTTATTTTTACTTAATTTTTTTTTTTTGGTATCAATGTTGATTAATTCATTTCTTTAGTTATCTAATACGCTAATTGTTATTAATAGAATATAATAAGTAGCAATAGAATGATTAACAAAACACTTTAATTGATAAAATATTTCCCTATAAATCTACATTTTGATAATGCGACATATATTAGTTTTCTTGGTCGACATTGAAATTTGATAAATTAAGGAAATCAAATGAATTAAAAAGTAGACTGCTAGCACACTTGTGAGATAAATGTGCTCAAATCGATAATGTTGAAGATTATGATGGTGATGATGATGATGATAATAGTAATGGTGAATGAGATAATTTTTTTATGAGTTTAATATTATTTTTATTTATGTAATAAATTATGAGATTATTATTTATGTATGATTTTGTTATTTGTAAAATAATTTGAGTTCATGTTATTTTATGTTTAGATAGTTTTTTAAAATGGATAACGTAAATTTTCAATTATATAGTTAAGACAATTTATTACTAAAAATTGGGTCTATAATTAATATTTAGGAAATAAAATATAACAAAATTACGATAAATATTAGATTTACAGTTTTGGGACATATATGGTGAAATGCATGGGAGACCAAACCAAATCTCATTTTCTATAAGTGGTGAAATATTATTATTTTAACATTTGGTCTAAATTTTGGTGAAATCCTTAGGAGATCAAAAACACCATTTTTCCACAATAATGGTGGAATAATAAACTGTTGTGCCGCCAATGGGAGATGAACCCATTTTTTCACCACAAAAAATGGAATTTGGTGAAAAAAAATGGTAAAATCAGTTGGAGATGTTCTTAAACCATTAAGACATTATTTTGAATCTTACTAATTGTTTGATTAGTTCAATTATTTCTAACCATACAGTTGAAATATCATCGAACTATATAAATATATGTTTATTAATTCTATATTGTCAATCAAATATTCAAATGAGGTTTAAGTATACTCAGGGGCGGATCTAGGGGTGGCCAAGTATGCCATGGACCACCCCAAATAACCAAAATAAATTTGCCTTAGTGGCAAAGATCTCCAAGTTGTTAGATGAGGTCATGAGTTCGACTCCATTATAGTAGAAAAAATATTGTTTAATTTTTTGGTCTAAATTTCTTTTGAGCCCCTCTCCCATAAACACATTATATTATATCCATATTACTATTTAGTCCACCCAAAATTCAAAATATACAAAAAAAGTCCTAACTTTTTTCTTTTTTTTTTAGCCCCTCTCCCCAAAAACACATTATATTATATCTATATTATTATTTAGTCCACCCAAAATTCAAAATATAGAAAAAAAGTCTTAAATTTTTTCTTGTTTCTTTAGCCCCTCTCCCCAAAAACACATTATATTATATCTATATTATTATTTAGTCCACCCAAAATTCAAAATATACAAAAAAAGTCCCAAATTTTTTCTTCTCCTAATTTATCCTAAAAAAAAAAAAAAAAGTTTCAATTTTTTTTTCCCTTCCCCTAATGTATCCAACAATAAAAGGTTCAAATTTTTTTTCCGGGGGCGCTGCCCCCGAACCCCCAAATATTTAACCCCACTATACAGTAAATTCTTGGACTCGGCATACCCAGAATTTTCGTCCTAGATCCGCCACTGAGTATACTTTAAGAATAGTTTATTTTTTTAAGTGATTTCAAAAGAATAATTATCTTTTGAAAAAATAGGGTAAACTACACTTTATCCCCTTGTATTATGCTATACGCTTGTTTGTCTGATTTTTATTTTATTTTTTTACAATTGTAATCATTTTTTATTTAAAGCGAATGAAGGTTTTCATCACACTTTGGATCAAAATCCTTCGTGTTCACATCAGCAGCTTCTACGTATTGAATGCAGGCATAAAGCTCACCACTACTAGAAAAATAGTTTTTTCGTGACGCTTCAGTGACACCTTAACATGACACCTTTTGAAAATCATGTCAATAATAATTCTATTGAAACACTTTGCAATAAAAGCACCTCATTGTCATTGTAATTTTCCTTCTATTTCAAGGGGTAATTGCAAATAAGCCAATCAATGGCTACTTATTCATAAAGAAATCCAGACAAAAAACTCATTTACCTATAAGTCCACACATGGTCCAGATTTTTGTAAAGGACTAAAATAACCCCTCATACTTTAATATGCTCCAATTTTATCTTTAACTTTATTTAACCTCAATTTGACCCCAAATTTCATAAATTTATTCAATTTTGACCCAAAACTTTTTTTTTTCCCGCCGGATTCCGGCGATGACTATTCAATTTTTTTTTATTTTTTATTTTTTTTTCATCCGGATTTTTTCGCCGGTTTTCGGCGTTGACTTTTTTTTTTCTTTCTTCTTTTCTTTCGTTCTGTAACCTTTTTTTTTTTCGTTTAAACAACAATATTGCTGTGATTGACAGTAAATTAACTATCTTACTGTTAAATACAGTAAAATTAACTAAACTACAGTTTTAACATAGTAATATTGCTATATTAATCTCTAGCACAGTAATATTAACACAACAAAACTCATTATTATTGTGTAATAGAGTAATATTACTATGTTGACCGTTCAACAAATGCAAACATAATAAAAAACCAAAAAGATTAATATTAATGTGAGTGACAATAATTTTACTATAACAACAGTAATATTACTGTCAACCACAGTAATATTACAATAATAGACAGTAATATTATTACGTTACTCCGTGAATAACTCAAACAAACAAAAAATCCAAACAAAATAATAATATTGATGTGGTTGAGAGCAATATTACTATAACAACAGGTAATATTACCGTCAACCACAGTAATATTATTGTGTTTACAGTAATATTTCAATAATAGACAGCAATATTATTACGTTACTCCGTGAATAACTCAAACAAAACAAAAAACCCAAAAAAATAATAATATTGATGTTGTTGACAGTAATATTATTGTGTTTACAGTTATTTTACTGTCAACGACAGTAATATAATTACGTTGACTTGCCAACAAATCAAACAAAATAAAAAAAACAACAAAAAATGAAAAATAATAATATTACATTAATTTACTGTCAACGGCAGTACAATTACGTTAATTAACTGTCATTGACAGTATAATTACGTTAATTTACTGTTAGTGACAGCACAATTACGGTCAACATTTAGCAGCGGACGTAAAAAAATAAAAAAAACAGACCAAACAAAAAAAAAAACAAAAAAAAAACAAAAAAAAAACTGAAAAAAACACTAAAAAAAGTCAACGCTGGAGACCGCCGGAAACCGGCGAAAAAATCCGGAGGAAAAGAAAAGAAAAAAAAAAGCAAAAAAAAAAAATGAAAAAGTCAACGCCGGAATCCGGCGGCAAAAGATATTTTTTTTGAAAAAAAAAAGTTTTGGGTCAAAATTGAATAATTTGTGAAATTTGGGGTCATATTTGGGGTCAAAATTGAATAATTTGTAAAATTTAGGGTCAAATTGAGATTAAATTAAGTTAAGGATGAAATTGGAGCATATTAAATGTATGCTTAAAAAAAAAGTCAAAATTGGATTTTTGTGGACAAAATTGATTAAATTGGGGTTGCAATTAAGAATTGGGTATAAATGATTGAGGGTAATATTGACGTATACATGAATGTTTCCTTTATTTATAATAAATATTAAATGAATGAGCTTATTGGTAAAAGAGATGTAGCCTCTAAACCTGGAATAATAAACATGCTTGGTTGGGAACTTATACACAAAAACCCCTTATTTTAATTCTAAAAATGATATAATATGACGCTTTCAAAGGCAGTGCCATAATATGGTCGTCCAGACCCACTGAAAAGCTATCGCCCTATACCCTCGAAATAATTTATAATAAATTAATCAAGAGAATTACCGCTGAAGTTTGCATTGATTTCACATTTTGTTTCTCATATTCATAAAATACACATTTAGTCCTTTATGTGTCAATACTTTAACAATTTTGGTCCTTTCCGTCAGTCTACCGTAAGCCCATTAGTTAAAGCAGCGACGGATACACACTAGATTCCATTAGTACTGACGGAAAATTGAGCGAAATGACTAAAAGTGTTGAATTAAACATGAGGGATCAAATATGTTTTTTGTGAACATGAGGGGCCGAATGTAAAATTAGTGCAAACTTAAAGGGCAAAAAAAAATTGTATTTTTTCCCTAAATTAATCTACCCACTACGAAATATATTTCCTTAACTCGGAAATCTTTTTACTCTTCCGTATTCTACCACTTCCCTCCCCAATTCTCAGTATCACCAAATTTGAGGGCAAATCTCGTTCTTCTCCAAATATCAAGAGTCTGATATTCCGGCGAAGAAGAAGTTCTTATTTATCGGTGGGCAATGCGATTTATTTTGATCCGAAATATATTTCTAGATAATTAAATCTAATTGAGTATGCGATTTTGAACGTTTAGGGCTTTTAAACACACATAGATGGTGATTTTCGTTTGTATAAATTAATGCTTTTATTTTGATCCGAAATATATTTCTAGATAATTAGGTTTATCTCGTTCGAAGGAAACACAATTTGAAGGAGTATGGGATATGATTTGTTAATTAACAGCAAGTTATTATGATTAATGTATTTGTTTGGTGTAACAAATAAAAAATTTCTTAATTTGATTATACCATCGATAGGCGTTCATGCTGTTCTACTTATGCATGTGCCGATATTAAAATTTAAATTAATTAACTACTGCTTCCAAAACTTATCATCAGGTTATTTAAGTATATGGATTTTCAATTAGTTTTAAGGAGATCGTAAATGAAAGTTATCACAAGAGTTGCTATGTATTTCGAGTAATTTTAGAGAGGTAGAGTTTGTTTGGATAAACTGTTATAAATTTTGAGGTTAAGATGTAAATTGTCTACTTTTCATTTGCTGCACCGATTTATATAATTTTCTTCTTTTATATTTTAAGCATTTAAGCATATCTCATAGTTTCTCGTGTTTGTGTCCTCTAATTTTAAATTATTTTCACCTTTCGATTGCAATCAACACTGTTTTCAGGTAGAAACAAGTTTTTGTTCCGTTATCCAAACAAGTCGTGAATGAATTTGTGTTGGCTGCTCTAAGATTCAACATAGCCAAGCAGTAACGGTAACTTTCTAAAGATCTCATCCGTGTATGCCGATTATAGAAATTTCATTTAAAAAAATTGCTATTCTCTTCTCTGCATTAAGATTACAGTTATTCCTAAACTTGCTCCCTTTGCTATTTACTGAAAACTTGATATTAAATGTTGATACACCTCTTCCGAGTCATTTAATAAAATAATACTTCAATGAAAAATGCATAAAAATAAGTATATAATAATTAAAGTTGTATTTGCAATAAAAGAATAATACTATTGGCCCTTTTTAGTGCATTTTTATCCAAAACTTTTCAAATAAAGTATTGAAAAATTATATAACAGATTAGAATTTAGAGGCCCCTAAACTTACTTCTTTTTGAAGGCCCAAGTGGCATGTATTATTGCCCTTTGCATCGGGCAGGCCGAGCCTGGATGGTGTCTTATTTATGTTTTCATGGTTAAAAAAAAAAAAGAAAGAAACGAAAAAGAATAGTACTGATGATTTTTCTTTTCTTTTTCATTTTTTTTTTGTTTCTTTGTGGTTCGAGGCTGCAACGTTGATATTATTTCTTCATGGGAACTTACATAAAATGAGGTCATTGTAATTTTATCGCTATATTATAAATTTATATTATATATTTTTCTGTATACTTTACTTTGCAAACTTCCTTATTGTCCTTCTTTTCCGATTTTAAACCCCATTTGCTTACATAAACACACAAATATAGCATTTGGTTTCAAAACAATCCTGCAGCGGAGGAGACAACCGATTTTGTGAAAGAAAACATAATGGAACAGAGTCTGTTATAGCGAATGTTGCCTTATTTAAGCATTGTATTTTATATCTTATCGACATTGCTTGCAAGTCAAGCTGTTTCGATTTTTTTTTATTTAGTCTATGCTAGAATGTTTAGTAATGTATTTTTTGGATAGCATGATAGATGAGTTTAGCAGAGGACTCTCCTGCACACTCGTCAAGTAGCGATGGCGATGATTTAGTAGCATTTCTGGACGCTGAGTTGGATATTGCTTCTGATGGAGAAGCTGATTCTGAAGAAGTTGCGGATGATGAGGATAGTGATAATGGTGACGAGGATGATGACTTGGATCTTAAGAGGTATACTTGATCTGATGAAGTCATTTGCTTAAGAAACCATTTGCGTGTGATGGTGACTTGGATGTTGACTTGGATCTTAAGAGGTCATACTTCGATTCATACTTTTTGTGGGCTATTTGCATGTGATGAATATTTCAAAAGAAACCATTGTGTAACTATCATGTTTCAAAGATAAACGTTTCTAATTAGTTGTCTGTATGAGGCTTAACTTCCACCACGTCGCTTGGAAGATATTGGTTCCTTGAGGAATTGTCTCGTTGTTGTTCCTTGGCGTTGTTGGTTGAAACTTGTCCACTGTCCAACGAAAGTAACTTGATGAAAGTAGTTAAGTTGTGTTTGCCAAACACTTGCAAATGTGCTAAAGCCATTTCTGTGCTCTCTTCAAATGTTGTTTCTGTTATTTCCACTTTTCTGATAATTATGCTTTCTTTCTATTTTTTTTTATATTGTAGAGTTAAAAGGCGCAAGATGGAGTTATCTGAAGACGTGAATTTTGACGTAATAAATTCTCAAAGTTCCTCATCTGCAGAGCAAATTTTAAGTGGTGAGTTTGTGATTTTTTTAACACCATTACTCAACAGAGTTTTGACCCTTTGTTATGTTTTCTTTTGTATTTGCAAGTTGTTTATGAACAGGTTTTTGACTTATGTTTATAACAATTTAGGCATTCCTTGATCTTCTTGTTGTGCAGCAGGGTCATCACCTAAGAAGAACACGTGTCTGCATCCCGGTGTTTATGCAGGAATGTGCATGAAGTGTGGCCAAAAAATGGATGATGAATCTGGTGTTGCATTTGGGTACATACATAAGGTCACTTTTTTTTTAAATATATTTTGTTAAACCTAAACCTGGTGTAATATATATTAAGCATCGCAAAGATTATGCCAAGTCTCTCTTCAATTATTCTTACTCATTTTGATGAAATAAATTATCTTTGTTGCTTGTAGAATCTGAGGCTTGCTAATGACGAGATAGACCGATTACGTGACAGAGACTTGAAGAACATGCTACGCCATAGAAAGCTTTGCTTAGTTCTTGATTTAGATCATACCTTGCTCAATTCAGCCCGACTTCATGATATTACAGAGCAAGAAGGCTACTTAAATGGCCAAAGAGAAGCTTTGCCAGGTATTTTTCCCCTTTAGCATTATTTGGATGGTGTATTGTCATGTTTTTAGTGAATTCTATCATGTACCTGACTTACAGTTAGTTTGCAAATGAACGAACAGATAATTTAAAGAACAGCTTGTTCAGACTGGATTGGATTTATATGATGACTAAGTTGAGGCCGTATGTGCATACATTTCTGAAAGAAGCTAGCAAATTATTCGAGATGTATATATACACTATGGGTGAACGTCCGTATGCATTGGAAATGGCAAAGCTGCTCGACCCTGGAGATATTTACTTCAATTCCAGAATAATTGCACAAGGTGATTGCACTCAGAAGCATCAAAAGGGTCTTGATGTTGTTTTGGGTCAAGAAAGTGCCGTTGTCATCCTTGATGATACTGAAGCCGTACGTGTGATTTTTAACTTTTATAAACGAAATTCTGATACCCATGTTTTATAACCTTATGATTAATTTGTTCAACTGGAATAATTTTCTAGGTGTGGAGCAAGCACAAGGATAATTTAATATTAATGGAAAGATATCACTTCTTTGCTTCTAGTTGCAAGCAGTTTGGCTTCAACTGTAAATCACTTTCCGAACTACAAAGTGATGAAAGTGACACTCAAGGAGCACTCGCTTCTGTTCTGAAAAGACTTCAGCAGATCCATACTTTATTCTTTGATGCGGTACTCTCTCTCTCTCTCTCTCTCTCTCTCTCTCTCTCTCTCTCTCTCTCTCTCACACACACACAAACACACACACACACAGACATAAAGAACTAATTTAAATTTTAATCAGATTCTTTTGAAACTCTCTCTCTCTCTCTCACGTGGTTCTCTCTCTCTCTCTCTCTCTCTCTCTCTCTCAGAGAGAGAGAGAGATAAAGAACTAATTTAAATTTTAATCAGATTCTTTTGAAACTCATTTTGTTGGTCTATTGTTTCAGGAGCGTAAAGATAGTCTTGAGGACCGGGATGTGAGACTGGTAAAATACTAAATTAACTTGTACCAATTTCAATAAGATGAATTTACGGTAATTTTTTTAATGTTACAGGTGATGAAAACTTTACGAAAAGAAGTTTTAAAAGGATGTAAAGTTGTGTTCACCCGTGTTTTCCCGACTAATTTTCCGTCCGAGCACCATTCCCTATGGAAAATGGCTGAGAAATTGGGAGCCACATGCTGTAATGAAATCGATCCATCTGTTACACATGTGGTCTCCATGGATGCAGGAACCGACAAATCCCGTTGGGCGGTGCAGGAGAAGAAGTTCCTGGTGCATCCACGGTGGATAGAAGCTTCCAACTACATGTGGCAGAAGCAGACAGAAGAAAACTTCCCCGTTAGTCAAGCGAAGAAGTAAATGATTTTATTTATATCTAACATCTGCTGACGAAATAGAAGTGAATGATTTATTTTTTGTTTAATGTTTTGTAATGGCTTAAGTCGGACCTTCTACTGGTGTATAAATTTTGTATTAGAAAGGTCCCTTGAAGAAGGTGATAGCTGTTTAAGACATGGGACTTTATCGAAGCTCAAGTTTTGATTTTATCGATTAGTTAAATTAACCCCGAATGGATTTGTTTCTTGTTCTTGGTTTTATTATCTCCCTTTTGCATTTTATTTTCTGATGGGCAACACAACTTGCACTATAGAGAATGATTATGGGAAAATTCGTATTTATGGTCAAAATAAAAATAAAATCTTATTGATATTAATTATGAAATGTTTTTGGGCCACCTTTTCAATCAGCAATTGAACTTTGTACGAATTACATGAAGTGAGTCCGTGTATCAATTTTATTTATTTATTTTTAATAATTAAATAAAAGTCACTTGACATTCTCATACCATTTGTCCAAACAAAACTGAAAATACGAAAAAAAAAATGCAAATGAAGATGTAGTTTGATTACATGAATAACTATCTTTGGCGTGTGCTTTTTTGTTTTTACCATAGTGCTTTTATTATGTCCCATTTTTTGAGTCATTTAATCAACGGGATGCAACGAACTAAACGCGCTCAAGAATAATTTAAGCTTCAATCTTTATACACAAAGGAAAGATTTGTCCGGAAACCATAGATCCATTTTTTTGAAATATTTGTAAGGCTGCGGCTATATGCAATACTCATTTCACTTGTGCAAGACCAAATTAAAGAAAGATTCCAAAAGCTTCTATTTCATTAAGATGGAATGACATGTATGCCCATAAATTAAATTGGCTTTTTTTTCTCATGTAAGACCAAATACAAATAATGAGAAAAAAAACAAAAATCGACACCAAGGTGTCGAAAAACTATGCTACAAATCGACACTTAAGCGTCGAATTTCATAGGTAAAAATCGACATTGACATGTCGAATTTATAGCACAAATTCAAATGTCGAATTTTATACCTCAAAATCGACATCTAAATGTCGATTTTTACCTGTAAAATTCGACCTGTACATGTCGAATTCGTTTGCACGGGATTTTTTTTGGAAAATCGATATTCTAGCTAAAAAAACCCATAAATGCATACATTCTTGGGTTCTTCCATCGTAGAATCTTCTTTTTGATGTCTTCTGACTCCATACTTGCCATCTTTGTAAGATTTGTTGAGTTTTGATGATTTTGAATTTCTAGGTTTTGTGGGTTAATGGAGGAGGAAGGAGAAAGGTCTTGTGGGTTTTGGAAGATGGAGAAGATGAGAGTTGGTCTTGTGGTTTTGTGGTCTTGTGATAGGGTTTTTTGTGTTTTTGAATTTTTGGTCTTGCATATTTGGAATTTTTTTTTTTTAATAAATAAGGGTATTATAGTATTTATACATTGAAAAATTTAATTTGGTCTTGTACAAGTGGAATTAGTCTTGCATATAGCCGCAACCTATTTGTAAACATATGGTTATTTTTTGTATACCAAAAATCAAACCCAAAAGTTTTTATTCTTCATATTTTTTTCCTCAATTTTTGTACACGTAGGTTTATTACATAGTGAAAGCAACCTTCCCACCTTCTATGTAAAACCACCTCAGGAAAGAAAACCGATTGTACAAAACTTCCAACGTTCTGAATAACCGATCTATATATACCCCACCCAATCAATATATCCTTCTTAATTCTTTTACCACGTTGTATACTTTGCAAGATTTAAAATTTGAAACATGTAGTCCCACTTCTTCTCTCCTTCTGTCTAAAATTTGGTGATGGTGACGCCCTCAATTTACATCCACCTTCTCTCATCACCCATTGCCGCCGCCGCCGCCGCCAGTTTCTTCATACATTTCTCTTTTCTTCTTCTTTTCTGTTGTTTACTACTGCTGCGTGGAATAGATTTCCGATTTTGTGAAGAGAAAATAAAATCTTTGTTTATCTACTACTGCTTATATTTTTTTTTTCTTTTTTTATGGAATTTCTTCTTCTTTTATGCAGATAGTATGTATCAATGTATGTGTTAATGCATTATTAGACGACTTATCCAAATTCGACTTTAAACAAGCAAACGTTGAGCAATTGAGTCTACAATCTTGCAGTTTTTCTCCGATCCTCCTGCCTTTCAGGTTTTCATGTTTTCACGAATATTCATTTTTTCAGTACATTAGAGGTTGTAATTTCTAAATTTCCTTAGTTCCACAGTCTAAGTCGACAAAAATAGAGGAATAGGGATTTAATCTATTCCGCGTGACATCTTTTTGTTTAATTTTGCAGCCTGTTTCTTTCCTTTCTTTTTTCCTCTCTCTCTTTTTTTTTTTTATTTTTCCTTTTTTTTTTATTATAATAATGTGTCATGTTTGTATTTGAAGGTAATTTGTTGTATCCGTTATTTGCACCCTTTTTTCATTATATCGTTAACTAATTTATGCGTTTAATTATTATTCGGCCAGCCTACAATATATGCTACCATTACTTCAATCTTAGACATTATATTGTGTCTTCTCTCACTTCGATCAATCATGTATTGATAAAGGCGTCGCTCTGCTCGTCCTTATTTCCTCTATTGAGGGCACTGTTTATTAAAAAAAAAAATAGAAACTCATGACTCTTATTGTTAGATACTTCTATCAATTCTCGGTATTGTTGTGTTTCATCTTTCATTCTTGGCAAGTTTATATGAACACGTAGATCAAAGTGTGTACTTTATTACCAAGAAATACACTTCAACTCTGCATGTCAATTTTGTTTGTTGACGGTTTGTAATCTTTTGTTTCTCTTTTGGGTCATTGAATTTTGTATTAACGACATATGTTTTATTACAAAAGTTGTTGGTGCCTCAAGTCTCCATCGACCCTCTCCTGAACCCTTATGTCATCTTTTGCTTCGCTTTTTGCTTTTACGCTCTTCATTTCTAGGATTTTATTTTGAACCTCATGTGGGATTTATGAACCCTTTTCCATGATTTTATGCAAGTTTTAATTTCGGATTATTTCTTCTACTTGTTTTATTAAGTGCATGAAACTGGCCACATTATGTACTTTTCTGTTATTGTTAATCGCATAAATCGGAATATCGAGTTAATACTGAGAACTTGGGTAGAAGAACCTTTATAGTATTAACATAGGTATGTAGTCAATCTCTTAGGTGGCTTTTATTAAGATTTGTTCTTCGTGATGTCTTCTAGGTTTAATTGCGTGGGGATACAGTAATTAAATCTAGAATATTAGAATCGTAATACACGCGGAAGCGGGTTATGATTAATTTAGCATCTCAGGTTAGTAATCCGATTTAAGAATTTGCATAATTGAAGAAATTGAGGAATTATTAATCACATAGGGGGAAGAATAAAATCCTAGGCTTTCATGGTTTTGCTTGTTTAAATTGTTTTACTTTAATTTAGTTTCATTAATCAACTTTCGACTGTGTAGGGTGGGCTTGAGCATAATTGGAAGAATTTAGCGTCTAGGATTAGATAATTTAATATTCTCCGTGGGACCGATATTCAAACTTAATTGTCCAATGTTTTCGGAAAATTTTCATTTTCTTTTGTTAGTACAAAACTAATTCCAATTTCAGGTCTAAAATTTTCGAAATCAGAACTTCATTACAATTCCAAAAGTTATGGAAATTTCGAAAATCACATAATTTTGAACATTTTACAAGAAATTCAGAAACTTTCACAAATTTTGAAAATATAAGAACCACTTTCATAAAATCATAAAACTACAACTACTCATGTGATAAAAATAACTATAATGATAACAATTGCACTAGATACCTATTTCCAAATCACAACATTCTAAAGCCTTAAAATGGTAAAGTCGAGACTGGCTTTTTTTTTTATTTGAGAAATATCAAAGGAAATGCAACCAGAACATGCTGATACGGTAAAAATATGATTAAATATTTAGAGTTAATTGCATAGACCCCCCTGTGTTATTTCTCGGAAGCAGAAAACCCCCCCGGGAAAAAAAATTAGCATATAACCCCCTCTGTTGTGTTTTAGTCAGCCCACCGCCCCTTTGTGTGCACTGGCTCGTTGACTTACGTGAAATGACAGAATTGCCCTTAATAAAAAATCAAGCAAAAAAGACCCTAATACCCAAAATACGTATCCTAACATTTTCCCCCAAATCGTATCTCAGATTTTGCTTATCCAAATTATAGCCAGCCACACAATCTCTCACACCACACCATCAACTTTCAAAAACAAAACTATCTGACATCTCCGAACTGAAATTCGAAGCCCTAAAAAGAAATCGAAGCCCTAATTTTGAAATTGCATCTCTGAATCGCGAAGCCCGCAGAAACAGAAGAAAGGAATGTAAGCGCTAGAAGAATTCTCGCCCATATATTAAAGAGGTTGGATTTTGATTTCCGAGTTTTTGCTGTTTTTAAGGCATGTTGAATCTCTGTTCATATGTTTGAAGATTCGTGGCAGTGGTCCATACATTGTCTGCTTTTTTTTGGGATGTGTGGGTTGTGGTCCAATTTTTATTTATTTATTGATTTTTTTGTGTAAAACATGTGCTTGTCTGGAACATCAGGGAACATGTGGGGCTTCTACACCATTTCTTTAATCAAGTTGATTCATTGTAGAATTTATGTTTTTTAGTGTTTGTATTAAACTTTTTAAAGCAGTGAACATGTGGTTAATTTTTTTTTGTCTTTAACTGTGAACTCAGTAATGTATTTAAGTCTTATATAGTAATGTATTTAACATGTGGTTCAATTTTAACTGTTCAATTTTTTTTGTCTTTAATTTAATAATGGAGATGAACATGTGGCCCAATTTAATAATTGAGACAGTGACAGTGGTTCTTTGTATTTAATTTTTTTTGTCTTTAATTTTTTTTTGTATTTAACATGTGGTTCTTTGTATGCAGATGGAGAACCTTGTGACAGTGTCTCTTTGGCTAGATGGCACTTTTAAACATAGCCCCAACTTGTCTTATGTTGGAGGAAGAAAGCAAGTGACCACAAGGATTAGCTTAGACTACATGAATATGGATTCACTATATGCGCTATATAGGTTATGTGGAGGTAAAAAGTTGAATGTCACTTTCTATTTTGTGTACGCTGGTCAGTCACTTGAACATGGCTTAAGGCAGATTTTATATGATGTTTCCATAGCATGGTTAGTGAGTGTGCATGAAGGCCTAGATCATTTGACACTGTACACTGAAGATACTGGTATAGAGCCACTACTTGCAGTTGATAGGGATGGGAATGTATTAAGGGAAGAAGTGGAAATATTGTATTTGCAGCAAGGGGATGAAGAAGTACACTCTTCTGAAGCACCATTTGAAGAACCACTAAATGATGAAGAACCAAATGTTGAAGATCAAGAAGCTGAAGAACCAAGTGTTGGAAATCAAGCAGATGCAGAACCAACTGTTGAAGATCAAGAAGCTGAAGAACCAAGTGTTGGAAATCAAGCAGCTGCAGAACCAACTGTTGAACATCAAGAAGCTGCAGAACCAACTGTTGAAAATCAAGCAGATGAAGAAGCAAATGTTGAAAATCAAGCAGATGAAGAAGCAAATGTTGATTCTGAGGATGATGATTCTGCAGATGATGACTACCTGCAGCCTGAAGATGCTACTTCAGATGAAAATGATGTACATTCAGATGTTCCAAGTGAGGAGTTAGATGATGTTGGGGATCGTGCATGTATACGCAGCGGAATTTAAAAATTTTTATATCGAACTAGTTTCGATTACATGCAAAACTAATCATATAGTCAACGTACCTTAACGCTTCCGCCATACATATGGTAATTTTTCGATTTAATTGAAAAATACATAAAACCGAAAATCACGAAACATGCTTATTCATCATTTAATGAAATCGAAACACGTAATCACATATTACTCACAATCATAAATTATAATTCATACAAAACATGCTCGAATTAATTTACGATAGTTTCGATTTGTTTACCTCTTGTAGCGTGAGATTTCGACGAATCGAAATCAAGAACCAATCACGTACAAGCTGCGATTACCAATCCTCGGGGCTGCAGGAACACCACCGAACGGCAGCTGGACCGAAGGTGGAGCGACGGCGGCGCGTGCGTGACGACGGCGGCGGCGCGTGGGCGGTGCAGCGGCGCGTGCGGCGGTGCAGCGGCGATGCGGCGATTCCGTCGGGGCAACAGCTCCTCTCCAATTAGGTTTCACCTCGAATAAACGGATCTCCCCCTACTGTAGCACTAGATACAAAGGGGTTAGATAACAAAGGGAATACGATAGAGAAAGGAGAGAAAAACCGGCGGATTCCGGCGACGGACGGCGGTGGCGCGGCGGAGATGCAGCGGCCGAGAGGGGGGGCTGAGCGGCTAGGGTTTTGTGCTGAAAAATCTGATCTCAAAACTCCTTTTGAGGTCTATTTATATCTAGGGTTTTCAACCCTAGCGGGCTTAAGTCATTGGGCTTGACCCACTGATGCATTAAGTCCATTCCCTTTACGGCCTCGTTTCTAATAAACGATCGTCCACAAAATTATAACAAAATTATATTTGTGACGAGCTCAAAGTCCTCGTCGATACGAGTGCCTCTTCGAAATTTCCAATTTCCAAAATTGGAAACTTCCAATTCAGTGGACTTGCTAAATCGGGAAACTTCCCAAGTTAGAAAGTTCACTAAATTCCGCATTTCTCTTTCTCTACGTTTATTCCGACTCGTAATCCACAATCACGAATCTTGGACTCAATCATATTGACCTCCAACTTTGCAAAGATTAACATATTAATCTATGCTCATTGTTATCAAGGATCCATGTTACACGAGAAGTGTGACCCTCAATGGTTCAGGTGTATGCTAGCCGTGGGCTCACAACTCTTTGTGATTCGAACAACACATTGTTCTTATACGAACTCCTCCCAAGAGTCCCGATTAGTGTAAAACTCATTCTACCTAATCCCGATCAAATCGGTGCCCAACGAATCAAGATTGGCGTCTAGCAACTACGCATCATGATTCCCTAGATACAAGTGAAGTGCCTGCAAGAACCTTATGATATAGTTAGCGTACAGTACGATCCCTTCGTAGCACATGTCCCGATTGAACTAGAGGCATTGGTTCACCGAGACCTCTTATAAAGTTCAATAACTGTGCGAACGTTCTAGGTATTATAAATCCGTTCGTGTGCGACTTAGGGAAACACATTTCCCTAATCACCCCACTATCAACTCTGGCCAGAGATTCCATGGATTATAAACCGTCAGAACACACAGGACATCCATGACTACTCAAGCGCTCGAATCCCCTACTATAATGCACAGACTTCACACTAGATTTCGGATTGCACGAACGTTGGCCCTTGGAGCGGTCCGCGGTGGGACTCAGGGACAGGTCACGATACAATCGGTCCTCTAGTGAAGTCACGGTGATGTCTGGGTCTTAAGGACTAATGGTGTACAACTATATCTTAGAAACCTATTACTCGATGAATGAGAACCACTTATAGATTTCTAGGGCGAGGGAGTTCAGTGAACTCATCCAGTATGAGCACCCACTCAAGTATGCCGATGTCACAACACCGAGGACTGATGAGACGCAGTACACATACACTGAGTGCTAGTCTCAAAAGGGAAAGGCCGGTATCCTCATTATTGGCGTAACCCATCGACTAGGAACAAGGTTTAACAGTTACATTACATTGCTGAGTTATCTCACGATTCTACTAGATCAACTCACAGTAATAGAGTAACTCGTTAGGACTATATCTATGCTGCTTGCATGGGATAACAGATATAGAATGCCAAATAAGATATTTTATTATTACGAACGAAAAACGATTGTTTTATTACAAGAAAAAGAGAAAGACCACAGCCACAAGTTGGCTTGCCGGTCACCTACTCTAACAATCTCCCACTTGACCTAAAGCCAACTACTCATAAATCTAAGTCCCATCGACTCTCGATGTTTCTCGTGGACTGATCCTGACAATGGCTTGGTGAAGGGATCTGCAATATTGTCCTCCGAGGTGACTCTGTCTAGCTTGACTTCACCTCTCTCTATGATCTCTCGGATCACATGGTATTTTCTCAACATGTGCTTCGACTTCTGATGAGCTCTTGGTTCCTTAGCTTGTGCTACGGCTCCGTTGTTATCGCAGTACAGCCGTACTGGATCGCTAGCGTTCGGAAATACACCCAACTCTTGGATGAATTTCCTAATCTATGACCCTTCCTTTGAAGCATCTGATGCTGCAATATATTCAGCCTCGGTGGTGGAATCAGCCGTCGTGCCTTGTTTGGAACTCTTCCAACACACGGCACCCCCGTTGACCTTGAATATATACCCCGAGTTTGACTTCGAGTCATCCACGTCCGATTGAAAACTAGAATCCGTGAAGCCTTCTATTTTCAACTCGGTATCCCCATAGACCAAAAACAAATCTCGAGTTCTTCGCAAGTACTTGAGAATGTCCTTCACAGCCTTCCAATGGGCTGGGCCGGGGTCGGACTGATATCTGCTTGTGACGCTCACAGCATACGCAATATCAGGTCGTGTACACAGCATGCCATACATTATGCTTCCTATAGCGGATGCATAAGGTGTCCTTTTCATCTCCTCGATTTCCATTTGTGTTTGAGGACGCAAGAATTTCGAGAGACGAACCCCATGGGACATTGGCAAGAATCCCTTCTTGGATTCTTCCATGCTAAACCGTTTAAGAACGGTGTCTATGTACATGGATTGGGACAAGCCAAGCAATCTCCTCGATCTATCTCTATAGATCCGTATTCCCAATACGTAGGATGCTTCTCCCAAATCCTTCATCGAGAAACGTGTGGATAACCATACTTTAGTCGACTGCAACATCCCTACATCATTCCCAATGAGTAGTATGTCATCAACATAAAGTACAAGAAAAGTCACTGCACTCCCACTAACCTTCTTGTAGACACAAGGTTCCTCCGGGTTTTTCACAAATTCAAACTCTTTGATAGTTGTGTCGAACCTTTTGTTCCAACTACGGGATGCTTGTTTCAATCCATAAATGGATCGCTGGAGTTTTCAAACCTTTTGCTCATCTCCAGAAGATATGAAGCCTTCCGGCTGCGCCATGTAAATTTCTTCCTCAATGTCCCCATTAAGGAAAGCGGTCTTCACATCCATTTGCCATATCTCGTAGTCATACCACGCAGAGATGGCCAGCAAAATCCTAATGGACTTAAGCATAGCAACTGGAGAGAAGGTTTCCTCATAGTCAACTCCTTGCTTTTGAGTATAACCCTTCGCTACCAATCTAGCCTTGTAGGTCGATACCTTTCCATCTACTCCAATTTTCTTCTTATAGATCCACTTGCAGCCTATGGGAACGATTCCCTCGGGTGGATCTACCAAGGTCCATACCTTGTTGGAGTACATAGAGTCCATTTCGGATTTCATGGCATTTAGCCAATGTCCCTTGTCTGTATCCGATACAGCTTCGTTGAAAGTTCTAGGATCACATCCTTGGTCAACTTCATCAACGAGGAATAACCTATCGGGCGCTCTCCGAACTCTTTCGGATCTACGCAGCGACGGTTCAGGAGGTATATTAGTGGTTTGTTGAATTGGTTCATTATCTGATTGTTGTGCTTGAACTTCAGATTGTGGTTCTCGAACTTCTTCGAGATCAACTACACTGCCCTTTCTATCCGATAGAAATTCCTTCTCAAGGAACACGACATTTCTCGAGACGAACACCTTTGCCTCGGAAACATAGTAGAATTCGTATCCCATGGAATCCTCGGGATACCCCACAAAATAGCATAGGTCGGATTTTGTATCCAACTTATCTCCCACTAGCCGCTTCACGTAAGCGGGACAACCCCATATCCTAATATGTTTAAACGTGGGTTTCTTGGAGTGCCAAAGTTCATAAGGTGTGGAGTTAACTGCTTTGGTATTAACCCTATTCAGCAAATACACGGCAGTTAGGAGTGCATGACCCCACAGGTATGCCGGTAGCTCGGTGAACCCCATCATAGATCGAACCATGTCTAACAGTGTTCGATTCCGACGTTCGGAAACTCCATTAAGTTGAGGAGTTCCAGGAGGAGTCCATTGAGACAGAATCCCATTCTCTTTAAGATAGTCTATAAACTCAGTACTCAAGTATTTGCCACCACGATCGGATCGTAGTTTCTTAATACGTCTACCGAGTTTGTTTTCTACTTGGTGTCTAAAATCTTTGAACTTTTCAAAAGTTTCAGACTTATACTTCATTAAGTACACGAAACCATACCTAGAATAATCATCGGTAAAGGTAACGAAGTAGTTAAAACCACCCCTAGCACTAACGCTTAGTGGACCACACACGTCTGAATGAATCAAATCCAAAAGACCCTCGGCCCGCTCCATCTTCCCTTTGAAGGGAGTCTTGGTCATTTTTCCTTTAAGGCAGGATACACAAGTTTGAAGTGATTTAACGTCCTCCAAAGAGAACATTCCTTCACTAACAAACTTGTTCATCCTTCTCAAGGAAATGTGACCCAGTCGAGCGTGCCAAAGTTGTGCGGGGTTAAGACTTATATCTTTTCGCTTTGCTGATATAATGTTAATAGGTATTTCACTTGGATTCAGTTCATATAAGTTGTTTATAAGTTGTCCCTTACAAATCATATTTTGTTCCTTTTGTATAATGCAAATCGAATTTCCAAAAACAAAAGTAAAACCTTCATTATCCAAAACAGGAATAGAAATAAGGTTTCGAATAAGTGACGGAACAAATAAACAATTGTTCAAAACAATGGAAAAACTAGAATCCAAAACAGAAAGATAAATTGTCCCAATGGCTTCAGCAGCAACCCTTGCTCCGTTGCCCATTCTTAGGTAGGTCTCACCCACATTAAGCTTCCTACTTCTTGTCATGAGCTGCAAATCATTACAAAGATCTGAGCCACAACCAGTATCCAATACCCAAGCAGAAGATTTAACGGACAAGTTAACTTCAACTAAATACGTACCCTTTTCAGAACGTTTCTGATCGAGGTAAGCCTTGCAGTTGCGTCTCCTCTACTTGGAGCACAAGTTTCAGATTGCGAAGCCAATCCAAATAGTTTGGACCGGTGAGTTTGTTTTGGTCGAGGATAGAGGAAAGGGATGTTTGGACATTGTTGATGAGAAAATTTTAAGAAGACAATAATTAGAGTTTAGTTCGTAATAATCGTTACAATTAAAATTTTGGACTTTTATGTTTTATTGTTCTCCCACTAATTTTATCGAATTCCACCACCCTCTAGCAGACAATCGAGAAAACTTATTTTTCTTTAATGGGCTTTAGGTCCAATAGCGCTAATGTAACCCGTAGTTAATCTATCCCGATTACATAAGCCTAAAGGTAGAGTACTATCAATCACATCACTATGTGACCCTAAAGATCGATTTACCTCACACTTGATAATGACCTAAGTTAATCTAGCGAATATCAAAATCTTCGTGTGTCAAGTCTAGCCTACCAATATGAGATGTCATGGATCCAACTATATCAAACTAATGCAATCCCTAGTTAATCTAGCCGACCACATTAATCCAACATAATTTTATCTATGACCGTATCTCCATCTAATGTCAATTAAATTACAGCTTATCCCACAATAGCACTCCCCGCTAACACGGCTTACTGCACTATTATGAGAGGCTACACATAATTTAATTGTTGGTAGAAGGAAAGAAAAATTCAACAATTTGGTTTTTCTTTATAGCTTGATAATTATTCTTGATTAAGAATGAGGGATTTTATTTTTAAATCTTATTAGCTCATCGGAAGTTTTAGGTTATGATCGTTTGTGATTCCTACAACTATGTTCTCTAGGTATGTGGAAACGCATATTGATCCTAAGAGAGACATACGATCATCATCGTACTTAATCACAATTATTCATCTCATGAATTAATTAATAAATACGATTAATTGCAAATATAATTAACGGACTTCTTTCATTCATAAATCATTCAAATAAGAATGAAGTCCATTAATTGTTTGCCATCTAATTTGTGTTCCATTAATTAAACTAATTTAACGATTAAATTAAATAATTAATCCAACACTATTCTTTGAATTCAAATTAAATTAATGGATCAATTATCTAATTGGGTTTAATTGATAAATAATTTAAATAATTAAAAAATCAATTAATTTTTAATATTAATCTCAGAAAATCAATAAAAGAAATATTTTTTTTTTTTTTTTTTTTTTTTTTTTGTTGTTGTTGCTGACCGGACCGGTCGGATCGGTTCGACCGGGCCGGTTCGGTCAGCTGAAAAAACAGCAGCAAAAATCGAATTTTTCCAAAATTAAAAATCTTTTATATTTTCTGAAATATTCAAAATATTTAATTAATATTAAAACACCCAATTTGATAACACCAATAATTCAACAATTCAACAAATCGAAGCATGCTTTCGAAAACGATAAACACGTTGACAAATAAACGATTAACCCGTGGCTCTGATACCACTGTTGGGGATCGTGCATGTATACGCAGCGGAATTTAAAAAATTTTATATTGAACTAGTTTCGATTACATGCAAAACTAATCATATAGTCAACGTACCTTAACGCTTCCGCCATACATATGGTAATTTTTCGATTTTTTTTTCTTTTCTTTCTTCTTCCTTTTTCTTTTT